TTTAACAATCAAATAAAAATTCCTCTACATTACAGAGAAGATTTCAACACGCAGACATTAGAAATACCGCCTTGTTCCTCTATTATGAAAAGAATGAAAACAAATCTTCCTGACATGGAACTAATTATTCCAAAACTAATAAAAAATAATGGATCTCTAATTATCCGAGAAAGCTAATTCAAGTAAGAGACGGTTTAACCACAATAGAAATCATAAACACGGAATGAATTCACTTTGAACGATTTGAAAACGGATCACTTAAATTAGGAAGAGAAGCGATCATTAGAAAAAGTAATCAAATGTTATAAAAATATATTTCATAAATCTGATAATAAATTATCTTTCATCAAGAAAGTACAACATGAAATTAAGACAAACGACGAAATCCCAGTTCACACGAAATCGTATAGGTATCTCTACATCCATAAACTTGAAGTAGAAAAGCAGATTAATAAAATGTTAGAAGATAGAATTATCAGACCATCTCAATCGCCATGGAGCTCACCGATTCGGATCATGCCAAAGAAAATCGTCGCAAGCGGAAAACAGTAATGGAGAGTGGTAGTAGATTACAGAAAAGTCAACAAAAAAACAATTGAAGACAGATACCCCATCCCAAATATAACAGGCATCCTCGACAAGCTTGGCAGAAGCCAATACTTCACCACATTGGATTTGGCATCTGGATTTCATCAAATCGAAATACACCCAGAAAACAGCATTCAATGTAGAAAATGGTCACTAAGAATTTACTAGAATGCCTTTTGGTCTGAAGAACGCTCCAGCTACATTCCAACCTGCTATGGACAATATTCTGAGATTTACTACAAAATAAAATTTGCCTTTTCTACATGGACGACATAATAATTTTCTCCACTTCATTGCAAAAACAAATTAGTAACTTACACTTAGTATCTCAACGATTACAAGAAGCTGGACTACAATTGGATAAATCGGTATTTTTATGCAAAATACTAGAGTTTTTAGGTCGCGTATTGAACCAAATCGAAAGAAAATATCTGCTATTCAAAAATTTTCACTTCCTGAAACAGCGAAAGAGATAAAATCATTTCTAGGTCTCATTTGAGAACCGAAAGTTCAATANTAAAAATGAAAAAAAAATCTCGAAAAACTCTACGGTACACATGCAGGGAGTTATTTTCAAAAAGCGAACAAAAAAATTCAATTTCAACACCCCATATCTCCGAAACGAAGCATTTTCGGACACAAGTTCATATTGACCTTTTTCCTTGAAATTGTCTCTGAAATACGTCACTTGAATATTTTAACGTACTCATGCTACACCCTATATGCTGCGTTTATCGACCACCTAGCGATACACAATATATGGCACTATTCTTTCCACTTGCAAACACCATTGACTTTCTGCAAATCAATCATCCCAGTGTCGGAATTTCCATATTCGGTGACTTCAATGTCCACAATATCGAAGACTCAAATCAAATTTTCTAATATCAACGACGAACAAGGTCGGTAAGCTGAGGATTTTGCGATAAGCAGCGGACTTACTCAGTTTATAGATGAGCCAACCAGGATTCCTGACCGTGATGGAGAATATGCTAGTCTTCTGGATCTTTACCTAAAAACCAATCCAGAAATTTACACATTCACCGTAAGGTCACCATTGCGATCTTCTGATCACAAACTTATTTCAGTGTTGACTGAATTACCGAAGAATGTTGGGGAACAATCTAAGCCGCGCAAAGTTTGGCATTACATATCTGCTGAGTGGGAGGATGTTCAAGACCATTTCCGAAATTTCCTCTGTCTAGATGTTTGTTTCAGCTCTGAAGATTCATCAACTTGTGCTTCTGAAGTCACGGAAATTATTATATCATCGATTGATGCATATCCTTTTTCGATGAAACGACCTTTTAACGGCAAAACTTGGTTCATGAAAAATTGGATTAATGAAAGCAAAGAACTTCAGAATCAGAGAAATAGGGATAACCTGTGATCACCAAGTGATTATTTTCAAGAGGAGGAATAAACTGTTTAATCTCTTGTCATTCAATATCTCAAAAAATAGCATCATCACCCTCAAGTGCTCCACACTAGATATCTACCTGGGTACTCAAATAATAGAAAACAAAATATCAGCAAAATTTATGGGATCACAAATTGATAAAAATTTGGATTTTAAAGGTCACATAAATCACCTATGCGGTGATTTATGCAGAAAAATTTCATCAGGATGCTTTGCAGTCAGAGTATCAGCAAATGAATTGGGCACTAATATGGCTAAAAATTTGTACTTTACTCTCATCGAATGAGCCAATCTTGGAATATTCTGCTAGAAGTCCATAACTCTTCTTGCCATCCAGGTGTTCAGTGTTTGTTTGGCAAAGCCCAAAGCGATGCCAATGACAGGTTCTGGTCCAATGAAGCCGCTTGCAGCACCCTCCTTTGTAAGAGAGTCAGCAGCTTCATTGCCTTCCAGGCCAGTATGGCCAGGAATCCAGATCAGAGAAAATCTGTTTAGTCTTTCTATCAAGGAGAGTCNTGAAAGTATTTAATTTCAGATGAATTTAGGAGTCTGAGAGCAAAAGCTATTGGTCTTTCAGTATTTTTTTGCATTTTCAAAACTAACCTTGCATTCATCAAACCCATTTCTATCAATGACGTGTCCTAAATAGGAGACAGATTTTTTTTTAATGAATATATTTCCTTTTTTTCTTAATGACCGGAATTTTGTAAAATTTTTATTACACATGACAAACGCTCTAAATGCTATTGGTCATGGAAAGCCTAATCACGAATCAGTCAACACGCTTCCTGAACGAAATTGATTTACTGTATGAGACAAACACTAGGTGATCACAAAAATTGTAATTGTGAAACTGAGATTTTTTTATAACTCATCCTGTGATTGATTCGTTGAATTTTTGATATGATGAAGTTCAAATCAAGCTGATCAAAAGTATACATGGGCCCAACCTTGAAGAATGGACAATTTTTCTCTACAAGGTGTTGAAAATTCACGGATAAGACCAACTCAGTTAGCCACATATTCCACCCAACTTATAGTCATATTCTTTGTTTTCAATTATCACTTCAAGAATTTGGTGAAAAATGTTCATTATGTATAGTGTGAATAATTTTCAATGATCAATGTTGAAATAATGACGAAAACCAGACACCATTATTGAACCATACGAACTTTCCCGTGTTAGGAATCACACGTTAAAAGGTAAGACCTCGTTAATCCTTAGCTCGCACAAGTTTCGACTTTTGAGGGTTGTCGTTCGTAGGGGTTTTTCAATTGGAAATATTTTTGCATTAAACCCAATTTTTGTTCAGTTGATAGTTTTGTTTCAGTTAAAATAAGTATTTTATAACAATTAACGTTTCATTTTCATTTTTTACAACATCTTTCTTAGTGTAAAATGGATTTAAGCTTATTTATTACAAAGGAACTAATCGAAAAAAGTTTCAAAATTAATTGAAAAGTTGTACTTTAAGACCCCTTTTTTCAGAAATTAAATTATTCACATCAATCATAAATAAATGTTGTCATTTGAAGGTAATTAAGTGTCTGCAACTTTAGAAAGCGTTTTCTCGTAACCAAGCAGATGTCGCTTGGTGCCCTCTGATGAGCATGACCCATTTAACGATTCATAACAAAAATGCGAATATTTGGATAAACAAAACAGCTGTCATATCTGACCGTTTGACTTTGGTCTAATATTTTCGATAGTTGTCCTACTGGATGGTGAACTTTTTTATATAAGAAGAATAGGAATCTATCCTTTGCCACAGAATTTTATTAATCTCAGAGTAACAAAAGACAATAGAGAGGCCTTTTCCATCCTTACATTGAAGGCAGCGTAACTTTGTTTGTTTACAGGAAGTATGTTGGATCATAAAACAGTGGCGGTCGGTTTAGTTGATAACCGGAGGGATATTATATATTTATAAAGTAAATCACTTCAGGTGAAAATGTATTCTGTTCAAATAGTTCCTACAAGAAATCTGATTCATTATTGATTATGGAAATGGGGCCAGTTTTTCTACCACCTTCTAGATTTTTATTCATGTATGGCTTTATAATAAATAATAATCTAGTAGGTGGTAGAAAAACTGGCTTCATTTCCATAATCATTAATAAATAATAAATCAAATTTCCTCTAGGAACTATTTGAACAGAGTACGTTTTCACCTGAAATGATTTATTTTATAAATATGTAATATCCCTCCGATTATCAACTAAACCAACCGCCACTGTCTTATGGTCCACCTCCCTTCGAATGTGAACAAAGTCTTCATAACCTCTTATTACCCATCTCCCCCTCTCCGCGCCAATAAGTTGTACAGAAAAGGATAGTACGATACCCGTTTTGAAACACATGTCGTATTGTATTGGTATAGGCACCGTCACAGCATAACAATCAGCATGGACACTTGGCTATGCCGCCTTTGATGTGGAATAGTATCTAGACGCCATTTTGGGAAGTGACAATAAGAGGGCAGGACTCGCGAAATGGTTTTGGAAAGGTTCGCACTCAAACTTTTTCATATCCAAAATGCTCATATAATTTTGATATACCTTACGGAATGGACCCAAATTCAATTGATATAATAATTCTTGTGCAGACATTCTATCTGGTTACATGATTTTTTTTTATGTCAAAACAGCCGAATTATTTCTAAAATCACCAGTAGGAATACAGTGGTTCAATCAACTGGAATATGAAAGAGAAATTGTCCAGCAATCAACTTTTTGGTATAAACTTTTTGATCTATCTGTCTTAAAATAAATGTGATTTTATATATTACCAATTAACCTTTCAGTTGAATTGCTTGTTCTTTATTATAAGAATTGACATTCTGCTTGCATTTTAGAATGAACTCTTTTTCAACATATTATGCTGTGGCACCGTACAGGCATGGCAACTCTATGTCTCATTATTACTCTGAGGTACCTATTAATAGTATTCTGTCACAGCATTCTGTGCTCAGAGTAATCTGAGATTCTGTGCCTTTGCCTAACCACTAACCCGCTAACCCCTTATTTTCAGTTTGTTATGTTTGAAGCATGTTATGTCGGTGGATTGAAGTGTTAAAAGTTTTGTTGTAAACCACTTGTTGATATTTTATTCAAGAGTTGTTCAGTTATTTACATTTAAAGTAGATTATGCGATGAGAGAATGGTTTCTGATAACAAATGATCTCTGAATGTGAACCCAAATCCTAACGATAAACAAATAACATATCAGTTCTTGTGTTTGTACCACTTTACTTTCGAATAGTTAACTAATACAGATTAAATACAGTGATCTCAGTGAACTCAAATTCAGAATTTTCATTCTATAATTTTGCTCAAAGTGCTTTATTGCAATTATTGGTGAGTATTTCTGTCAGAGAGACTGTGGTGGAAATTACTATTACAATCATTCATTCACCACCTGTTGAAAAAAATCTTATAGGTCATTTTAATTTCGACTCCATTCAAAAACCAGTCCCTTTTCTTATATTTTTTAATGTATGTTTTTAACCAGATTGCACAAAACTTTTCATATTAGAGATTGTGAATGGAATTTGTATATGTGAAGAACTGAATATGTACTCCATTGCCAATATTCTTGAAATAAAATACATGAATCAATATTTTCAGACACTATAATTTTCTGTATATCACCGGCTCTGATCATCTTTGATCTTGAAATATCAAGACAGGTATACCTATTTTCAATTCCGTTTTCAACCAGATCAAATCTGTCAAGATGAAGGTAGCCATTCACAAGTTATTACAATATTTTTTTAAAATCATTAGATGAAGATTTTTGTCTATTTCAAGTTATATATCTGCGCAGTTTGGAAAGCTATGTATACACAGATATTCTAACCAAATGTTTCCTAGCCCACTAAAACGCCCACATATCTTCACAATGTTTATTACTCATTGTTTTTCTTATCATTTCTTTTCTTTCTTCTCATTTCTTTTCTTTCTTCTCATTTCAATGTTTTATGCTCCATTCTCACTTCTTGTCCAAAAATAAAAGATAATTTTAACCTACTCATTATTCCCAAGCGCTTTTTTATTTCACTTGGTTCTTGGATCTGGTTCATCATTTTCATTTTCGAAACTTTCCTTACTCTTCATTAATTTTATCTCTTCACATTTCAACTTGAGATATATTTCTTACTATCCAATTTGTCATGTTCAACCGCCTTTCAACAGGTTGTAACACAATGAAACAGTATTATTTACAAATTTATATCAGATTTTTCACTATCTTTGATAAGGAATGTGTGAGAATTTCGAACATATCAATAATTTTAATTGTCCTTTTTTTACTTGTTCATTAAATACTTATCTTTAAAATACAAGGCATGTACTACTAGCGGTAGTTCTTCCCTATTGATCTATAAATCAATAATAATGGAATAATGATATTACCACTTTCATTTCACCTGAGAAAAAGTAAAGAATGAATTACAATGTACAATGGCAAGGAACTCTAAATTGTTTGAAACACTAAAAAGTAAACCAATCCCCTATATTTCTCATACACATTGTTTTCCCTCTTTTTGAGGATTGGAGTAATGTTTACGAAATTCAATGTATTAGGAAACACTCTGTAACCAAAGATAAATCTTTGATATGCAGTGGTGGTTGACGTGGTTTGAAAACATATTTTTCAAAAGATCATTCAGAATTTCATCATCTCATTAGGATTAGAATTATTTCGAAAGTTTTGACATTCTATCACATAATTACATGAAACTGATATCAGTATCCTTTTGTTGAAAAGTTTTGGAAAAATATGTATTGAAATTCTTAGTTATTTCTGGTCCCCATATTTTCATTTTTCCATCATAAATTCTAATTTCTCTGAATTATTTCCATTTTCTAATCTGATTTATCATTCACCACAATGTTTCTGTTTTTTCTATCGGAACTTTTTAGTTTCTTTCTATAAATTTCTATACTCAACAGTGTAGGTACTTTCTCACACATTCTCAATATAAGGAAAATAATTTTTTGATTTCATAAAGTTCTGGGGTGATGTTTGTTAAGCATCCATAGGCACTTCACAGACTTCAGGACTTATTTCATGATACATGTATGTCCCTCCTGGTTTTGTTTCCCTGGAGAAGTTTGACTTTTAGTCCGCTAAAATATTCTTCTGTAGTATGGTAATTTGATTTATTTATGTAAAATGACCAGATAAGTCTGTGATTCCATCTTCATATTGAAAATTCTCTCCAATGAAATTATTGAAGCATACTAATGGCTTACGAAAAAAGTTGAAATTCTAACCATCTATTACAAAGTTAGTATTGAAATCTTCTCTTCATACTTAGAAAAATATTGAAGACATTTTATGAAATTTTCGTTTTGTTGAACTACTGATGAGACAATTTTTTTTACCAGAAAATGTTTTCCCTTCGTACAAATGTTTTTTGATTTGGCCAAAAATCGGAACTTCCCAGAAATCATTAAGGTCTTTGCCACATCTTCTTGATGCAAATTAATAGGATCACTCACTGAATATATTTCTTCAATTTGATTTCTTAAAAAACAGCAAAGATGGCTCAACTAGGTGAATATGGCCAGCAAAAAGTTTCTTTTTTATTGTGACAGATATTTTCATTGTTACTTTTATGAAAAAAAGCCTGGGTAGATTTTTGGTATCTTTTGGAACAAATGCACAAAAAAATATCCAATCAAATCATTTTTACTAATTATGTTGTTAAATGGTAAATAATGAAATATGAATAAGCAGATTATTTTTGGCATGACGGTTTTGCTATCACAGTTAACTGACTGTTAAATGAATTGGTGTCAAAAATTCATTGGAAAGTTGATATTAATCAGTTCAACACTGTTTGTTGCTGCTGATAAAAGTACAACAGTGTGAACTTTTTACTGAAGATCAATCCCTGAAAATTCAGCCTTTATTCAAAGGTGCAAAAAACTTTTTTTTATCTGAATCTCTATAGTATGATATAAATGAATTAGAAATCTTTTTGTTTATTCTAAAATTCGCTACAAAACAGTCTCAATTGGTACTTTTTTATATAAACTGTCATTTCTATTTATTTCATGATTTAAATATGATCTGTCACGTTTGTCATTCAGGTTCAGTCCAAGTTTTCAATTCTAAATAGACCTGTTTTTACTAATTTGGATGGATTCCGCTTGTGATGATAAACTGAAACAATCATACGACATGGACAATGTTTGTACAACTTGCCATAAAGCATTCAGATCCAAAACCGGCCTCAAAATTCATAATGGAAAAATTCACAAAACGTCAATGTCAAATTCAGAAAATAACATTTTGATGTCGAAGGATTCGTTAATTGAAAATTCCAGCAATGATCCAAATGACACAGGACAAGGTACATTATCATTTTTCAAAAGATTAGCTGTTTTAAAGAACTCTACTAATATTGTGAGGAAAATCACCAGATCAGCTAGAATTTGCGTAGCATCCATCTTATCTGAAGTCATCGATCCAGTTGGGAAAATCTACTTACTTTCACATTCAGGGTTCTGCCTATACAATATTCGAAAGAGAAGAGAAAAATATCTCTTAAAGAGGAACATCAAAACGATGAATTACAAAATCATCTGCTGTTCCGCCAGCAATTGCTAAACGATTCAAAGGAAATTACTCAGAAATATTTTAAAAAAGGTTGAGGCAGGTGATATTTCATCTACTATTGAGATTCCTAGTTTTAACGATACTCTCGCTGATTGCGACAATGTAATTTTATCGAAGCTTATTCTTAAACATCCTCAAGCTGACTCAATATCAAATGCATCTGAACCTTCACTTGATGAAACAAGCAATTTGATGTTTCAAGTTCTGGAACAACTTATATTTGCAACAGTGAAAGCGTTCTGCACTGGATCAGCTGGAGGACTAGATGGTTTTCGCCCAAGTCACATACAAGATCTTCATAGTTATAGTGCTGGTAATTCTAGAGACTTTTGATCCTTTAGGACCTGCACTTTTCTGCCTGACCATTCAAGAGCTAACTAGAAAATTGCAATTCAGAATTCATCTGTTGGTATCTAGATGACGGATGCATTGGAGATGATATTGACATTATCTTGAAGGATTTGAAGATAATTATTAACAGCTCAAAACAAATTGGTCTCAAACTTAACTTCGATAAATTCAAGTTTTGAATCAGAATCTCTTGCCGACATTATGGAAGTTGTTCCTGGTATAAAACTCATGGAGAAATCGAAATGGGAATTACTTGGCGCCCCTCTCACTATGGAAGCTCTATGTGAAAGTTTGCAGAACAAAATAGATTCCCTTGACTTGATTTCCACCCATTTATATGATTAGCCAATGAATACTCCTTTTTTTATTGAAAAATTGTTTAGCCATTCCTAAACTACCCTATACTCTAAGATGCTCTCCTTGTTGGAAAAGTCAACTATACCTCAAGAAGTTTGATGATCACCTATGTAACATAGTTGAAAATGTTACCAACAGCTGTTTTACTGATATTTTTTGGTCTCAAGCAACATTGCCTGTGAATCGCTGAGGGTTGGATATGCGCTCAGCATCATCGCTGGCTTTACCAGCATTTATGTCTTCCATCAACAATCTTTCACAATTGATAGAAATGATACTTCCAGACTCCTTTACCAATATAATAGATAATTTAGCCGTCGAAGGCGAATCTATTTGGTGTTTTCAAACCAAAAGTCACGTGCCTACAGATCTCAAATTACTTTGGAAAGCATGGGACGAACCTTTAGTAGAAAATGCTTCTGACTCCACTTCATCTTTGTCATCTCCCTCGGAAAAGCTCGCCTTAAAGCCGCCAATATTAAAAAATCTGGAGCTTGGTTGAACGCATTACCTGTTGCTCCTCTGTGAACACTATAAGATAATGATACTTTCAGGCCATTGGACTCAGATTGGGTTTAGATATTTGTACTCCTCATAAATGTATTTGTGGTTGTGAGGCAAATGAAAAAGGTACTTGTGGTTTGAGCTGCAGAAAGGGTTCTGTACGTTTTCCAAAACATCACCAAGTCAACAACATCATAAAAAGGGCCTTGATATCAGCCGGGATACCTTCAATCAATTTTTTCAGTGTTACTTAATATCCAATTGTGTAATGTTTTCTAAATGCTGTTGTTCTCAACTTTTTAATTTCTCGAGGAATTATATTGTAAATTTTACAACCAATACATATGCAGTGTTGTTGCATTAAATTTAGACTACACTCAGCAATTTGAAAGCATTTATTGGTCTTTGATCTTGCATTATACTGATTTATGATGCACTGTTTGGAACCTTTAGTGTAGTAATGAATATTACTGGAGTTTTTTCCCAACACCAAATCGGTATTTTTAACACCTCAACA